TTAACGTAATTTAAGAAAATAATATAAAATGTGGTGATAGTAAAGTTTATTATTATTAAGGTTAGATAGTGATTATTACGATGCTCATTCATAAGAATGAAAATTGTGTTGAGAGACAAACAATGAGGGATCAAGCATTGAAGGTTTGTTTAAATTATTAAATAAGATACTAGATCATCAAAACTAATCACAAAATAAATGAATATTTCAAAATTCATTACACTTTCCAACTTAATATTGATTCTAATTAAGTTAAATTATAAACTATAACAACTTCATCTCATGGATTAGGCTTTAGGTTAATTAGGAGAAGATAATACTATTTATTTTGTAGACCTAACTGAAAATTCAAATCAAGGGTTGAATCAATGAATATATTCTAAAACATAACTAATTTGGTTAACTCGAATGGTATTAGGAGTTCAGCTAGAATTTTTATTAGGAAAATATTAGTCGATATAGGAAAAATAGATTTAAAGATTACAAGAAATAGATTAATAAATCAGATATCATACTTATCTGCTAAATAATAAAAGAATTCATATAATAATTGAAATCGTAGGATACGTATGAATAAAAGAGAATTATAGAGTAAAAACGAATTCTTATTTAAGGATTTTTCATATTATATAAAGGAAAAGTCAATTAATATAATAGAACTGAATAAGACAATTGAAAAATTGAAAGAATTAACAAAAAAACAATTGCCAATATACAAAGATCAAGAACTAAAATTTTTAAATAAATTTTAGTTAAAGATGAAAAGAAAAGAAAGCAAATTTTAGTAAAATAATTGAACTTACTTAATGGTGAATAAGAATAAAACCCTTTCTTGATTCTTAACAAGATTTCACAGTTGGCTAAATAAAATTTTATTAATTTTTTTTTAACATTTTTCAGAATCCCTATGATTCTCATGATATAGATCATTTCTATTGATATTTAAATTATTATAAATATTTAAATTGAATCATTTTGAGGAAGCTATTACATTTTATGATAAAGATTTATAACAACTATCCTACTAGTTTTGATCTGCTCAATAATAAAGGTAATTTAATATTATTTATATTTATTTAAATGGTCATAAATGTATAATATATATCACTTTGAGGTGGCTATTTAGTTTTATAATAAGCTTTAAATATATTTCCTAAGATTGTGATGTCCTCAATAACAAAGGTAATTGAGTTTGCCTTTTTATTTTTAATTTTAAGTAATGTATTATATGATTTAAGTCATTATGAGGAAGCTCTTTAGGTTTATGATAAAATTTTAGGCATCAATCATAAACATTTTGAATTGCTCAATAAATCAGGTAGTTTTGTTTTCATTTATCTACAACCTGAGGTTTAGCATTAAATGAGTTAAATCTTTTTGATGAGGCTATTAAATTTATGATATTTAAATATTAAACAGGAAGAATGTGATGCGATAAATAATATAGGTAAAATGAGTTTTCATTTTATTTTTAATTTTAGTTGAAGCATTTGCTATTAAATTTGATAATAAAATTATGAAGTGATAAATAACAAAGGTAAAATAAGTCTTTCGATTTATATTTATTTTAGCCTTAGCTTTACTTAAACTAAAGCATTCTTTGTTAAGTAATTAAAACAATGATCCAGCTTAAAAAATCAAGCTTAAAGATTTTTGATATGTTTAAGAACAAAGGCAAAGAATGTCTTACCTTTTATAATTAATTTTAGATAATGCATCACTTAAGTTATGTCAATTTGATTTAATAGTTTTACTAAAGAATCAAAATTATAGAAAGGAAGGTATCGATTATCATTTATCATAATATATTAAGGGTTAAAACAAAAAGGTGTCATTTCCGTAATTTTTTAATTGAGTAAACGAAATACTTAAGAAAAGGATTCTTTGAATAGGAAATTAATATTTATTTTATACAACTAGAAATACTTTAGTAAATATTATATAAAAGAATGAATTAAGCTCATCGAAAACTAATTTATAGCAATCCAAATAATAATATGAATAATTTATATAATTAATTTACCATATACTAATAATATAAATTGGATAAAAATTTTCTATTTACTTTTATAATATTATCATAATTATATTTGAGTATGATTACTTTCTGGCAACTAAAATTGATTTCATAAATTCCCTTAGAAAATGAATTAGAAGTACCTTTAATTTAATTAAACTTTTTTAGAGCAAGTTTATTTAAATAAAATAAATTGAATGTTTTTTAATTATAGAAACTGGCAACCAAATATTAAAATCTTACTAAAACGCAATCAAAACTTAATTTAATTAATCTATTGCTGCAAAAACAAAACTTTAAGGAGAAATGTTAGAATACTTTGTATTTTAAAATAAAAAATACTGTAGAATTACCTATTTTAAAAATAAAGAACGTTTAATGATAATTTAGTCTTAGTTGTTTGTATATATTCTAGATGAGTCTCTTGTTCTTTCAATCAATAATTGTTTAGGGAAACTTGAAAGTTACAATATAATTTCCATTCTAAAAATTATTATAACATGTAATATTTATAGTTAAATTCTCCTTAAAACCAGAAGGACATGTTATACTCTATGTAAAGTAAATAGAGAGTCATTATTAATACCTCCTTTATAACGAGTTAGTAAACTTTAATTAAAAAATGATACAATTATTATATTCTGATATTGATCAACAATTATTGCATATTCTTACAGTTTATTGAATGAACCTTACATTAAATAAGGTTCATTTAAATTACTTTCAACTATTATTTTAGAATTATTGAATAAAAACACCATTTTAATAAAAATGATTTAATGTAATTAATACATTACCATAATTTGGAATAGTTTGAATTAAGTAGGGCTTGATTTCAGTTATTTGGTTTTAATAATAAAAAATGTATAATAACTAACACCCTCAGTATCTGCTATCAGACTGATTATTTAATTTCCAAAATTTGAATTTAATAAAATCTTCTATAAATTCTTGGAATATTATAATTATATATCCTGCTGAAAGCTTGGCTATTTCCATTTATTGTCATAATTAAAACATATGGATAATATTCGCTAGCCAATAATATAATTACCCTTTTTGCTTGATTATCATTCAAAGATGCTGGTAATTAAGCAAATGAAAAATCATTAACAATACCAAAAACTTTCTTAAACGATTCACATT